AAAGAAAAAGAAATGCTAAACGCACCCCCCAGGATAAAATAAATGGGAGAGAATGAAGGATGCGGATATCAGAAACCTATGGAAGATTAGGTAGGCAGAAGCCTAAGTCCTGGGCGGGCATTACATCAGATTCACATTAAGTGCCTGCACAGGGACACAGCCACTGCCATATGCCTTTGTTTCCTGTTGGAAGCATCAAATAGTTAATACAAAATAAATTTTTGAAATTTGCATTTCTGAAAAATGCCTTCCATTCACTTGTTCAATTTATTTTAACAATTCAACAAGCAGAGACTTTTAGGTTAAAGTGAATTTTCATTTAGGAATTGCTTTACTACCTTCTGAAACAAGAGCTAGGTATTTAATATATTTGTTGTTATGTTTCTTTCTTTATTTTTATGTGTGTTTAATGAAATGGGAAGATGATATTAATTAGCTTGGTTCATCATAATATAGAACCAAAACTGTATAAATTATATTGACAAAAATAGTTATTAATTTTTAAAAACTCAGACATAGCATCACATCCTCAAAGTAAGTAATTACAAAAATAGCAGATTATCCTGAATAATCTCACTATGGGAAATCAGGAAAAATATTGTTTTTGGTAAGTAATCAGGTTTGTCCTAAAATTATTAAAATTACTAACTTTAGCTGGGCACTGTGGCATAACAACTGTAATCTCATTGCTACTAGGGAGGCTGAGGCAGGAAGAGAGAGTTCAAGGTCAGCCTGAGCAATACACTAAGGTTCCATTCTAAAAAATAATAATTTAGTTACTATGAGGTATGAATCATTTGTAGACAATATTTTGCAAGTACCCTTCATAATTTGAGGTTTTCCTTTTTGCTGATTTTATTAGAAAACATAACCATTTACATCTGCAACCATTTTGAAAAAAGTGATTGTCAGCATGCTCCACCACGCTCCTTACACCTAGAAAATGGAGTGTTGCTAAAACCTTGTATGTCTGTGGGTTCTAGGTCTGAAGTCAACCACTTCTGTGGTTTGGCTCTGAAACATCCCCAAAGGCCATGAATGAAACGCTCAGTCTCCAGCTGACGGTACTGCGGGAGGCCCTGTTGGGGGACGCAGCCCACAGGCTATTCTTCGGTGGTGTGCTCCCTGCCTGCGTGCTTCTTGCACCTGCGCTTCCTGGCTGCTGTGAATAGAGCCGCTTTCCTCTGGTACCCTCACTGCTCCACCGCAGCCCCACAGGCACTGAAGCAGCTGACTAGACTGACACCACTGACACTGTGGGCCAAAATACCTTTCAGTGCTTTGTTACAGTAATGAAAAGTTGACTAAAACCAACACAGTTCTATAAACCTCACTTGTACTAAACTTATTTCCTACACAATATAAGCACTATTTACATTGTATTAGGTATCAGAAGTCACTGAGCAATGATTTAAATATATGGGAGGATGTGGACTACTTACATGCAAATGCTACAAGTTTAAGATAAAGTACTTGGACATCCATGGATTTTGGCTCCTAGAACCAATCCTGTGCAGACAGCAAGAAATGACTGTAAAAATGAATTCCTCACCAGCCCAAAGCACATGGGGGTCTATGCCAGTGGATTTAATACAGATCCTGGCCCAGGAGCAGGGCCAGGATCTGTACCGCCGCATAACACCTGACCTATACATTCTCATGTCCCAACCACACCTCTGATTCAGGCATCGAGGGTTGAGGCAGAGTAAGTTAGGGTGAAATAAGCCCTCCGGGTGACTCCAATGAACAGGAAATTGGACTGTGTAGATCAGTGGCTCCCAAACTGCTTCCCATAAAATTTTTGACACTGTATCTCAATCAGTCAGAGCCTGGGCCAGGAAATCAGTGAGGTGCCTTCCTAAATTCTTTATGCCTGTAATTTGTAACCCTGCAATTAGTATTTAAATGAGTTAATGTGTCACCTATTGTCCTGGCTATTTAAAAAAAAGATGAAAATGTCTAAAAAGACATATATATATATATATATATCCAAGTAACTGTCAAAACACAATCAGTTGCTGAATATTTAGTGCTTGGCTCCCTACCATTTTTCACTCTGATTAATGTACTAAACCATGGAGCCTATTGAGCACCAAAAATATTAGCTGAGCAACTATACAAGCCCTTGCAGAGATTTAGCTAATAGGCACCATTCCTCTAACATAAAACTTGAATGTACTATTGATAATAAAAGTATGAAGTACTTAAAAATGCAAAGATTTTTAATACTTGTGATTTTCAATCTAAAATCTATGGAACGCTGAAAATTCAGGAAGGAAACCTCAGGTTCCAATCCTCATGCCCACTGCCACCACAGTGGCCCCTGAGGTACAAACATAATACCTTTCACAAAAGAATCCATTTAGAGACATAGTTATACTGTGTGTGGGGGTAACATTACAATGACATGGACCAAATCTCATACCAATATCTGCAATATACAGAAATATTAACATTAAGTAGACATGATATTTTCTGCCCCCTTCCCATATTAAAACTTACTGTCACTGTGATACGAAAACTAACAGACCATGAAATACAGAGAAGTGGTTCCCAACCTTTTCTAAACTATGGAAAGTTTAAAATATTCAAGCAAAAGCAGAGTCGATCTGGTTTAAAAGTAAAAATGAGATAAGTCTTCCGCTCCATTACATTTTCCTCTGTTTGCTCCCCTAAACCACTCTTGTCAAACCTGTTCCCTTTTTTCACAGAGAAAGACCCTGAAGAACCATACTATACCAGAGAAAACAGTGGGGTGGGGCTGATTTCTCAGTAGAATAAGTGCTTCCCTGGCAAGTGCAAGAGCCTAAATTCAATCCCCGGTTCCACCAAAAAAAAAAAAAAAGAAAACAGTGGGAAACACTGATTTGTATTTTAAAATATATAACTGAGATATTCACTATGAAAGAAGCTACCACAGTTAAAGCTCATATTCATTTTCAAAAACTAAAGACAATAAAGTACAACAATTAAATTTAGAAGCATACCACAGTACTTGAAAATCAACTACTTCAAGGAATCATGAGTTGCCATCGTTGAAAATGGCAGGAAAAGTCATTCTCTTTATAAAACCAAACTGGTTTACAATTCTAACATGGCTGACAAGTCCACTTCTCTGTCAGCTCTGTCTACAGGGGCCTATTCAAGCAGTGATATTTGTCATAGTTTCTCTATACTCTTTCACTTTAAGCGTGCACAACAAAATATTCTACAGTAAGCAAGATTTAGATGTCCTGTAACAGAGATAGCATAATTAAAATATTTCATCAAGAACTCACTAGCTGAAAATATATGATTTTCTTTATTAAGTTTCATTTTCAAATATCTATTGGATTGTGTATACATTTTACATATAATATTCTTCTGAAGTAAATAAATTAGATCTATTCTAACCTAAACACAAATTAATACGTCAAAGAGGGTTCATTTTACTATTTATAGCCTGAAGTAAAAAGTTTAAAATATAATATTTCACATTATTTCAGAATAAATTTCAATTTACTATGAATATAATTTATGGATATTTAGTGAATGCAATGAATATTTAGTTAATTCAATTTATTAATTGTAAAAAATTAGTTACTTCAGTACTACTAAAAACACTATTAGAGTTAGGAATCAAACCAAAAGTGATGCCTTTGTGTTGTTTATATATTCATGAAAACTGGAAAAAATATACTGAATTAACCTATGAAATGGTTAACTGCAGCATTTTAAGGGATGTAAAATCTATTGACATAAATATTCCTTAGGACATACATTGAGAGTTATCATTTCAGAATCAACAGAATAAAGAATATATTACATTTTGATTTTTGTCATCATCTCAGCACCCACATCTTAGCAATTCTCTTTTCATTTACGTATTTGGTACAGGGTCTCACTATGCAGCTTGCGCTCGGAGTGATCTTCCTGTTTTCAGCCTCCCCAGTGCTGGGATTACAGGCGTGTGCCACCACATCTGGACTCGGTCCCTGACTCAGTGTGCCCCAGTGAGTAGGGGATTGAACTCTAGCGCCTGAGCTTGGCTAAGCAGGAGCTTACTCCGCTGTACTATCTCGCTGGCTCCTGACATCTTATCAGTTTTAATTTAACAATATGCTAAAACTAAACAGACACATATACTATTCAATAATTATGCTGTCTTATAATAATTTTTTAACATAAGATGCCACTATACTTTTTCTCTATTTCCACTCATGTGTAAAAGAAATGCGTACTTTGTGAAATTTGGCTGTTCAATGGCAAAATTAAGAATGAGATAGTAAAACAACATTAGATGAACATTAATATCCAACAATGTTAGGTAAAAGAATAATTTCATTATTTCAAGAAAGAAAACCTTAAACACAATCTTAAGCTACTAATTTTTAAAACGTTTTAATTCAAAAAATAAAAAACATAGCAAATATTAGATTATCATGTATGCTTTTTATGAATACAGCAATTTATTTTGGGAGCTCTATAGAATATTTTAAAGACTGGACAAAAACCACTAAGCCATTTTACCTTTTCCTTTAATGAACAAAGAATTTATGTGCTTTATGTTTTAACTTCACTAAATCTGGTAGCCAAAGGTTTGCAAAAGTAGGGCCTAGAATACAGCTCAGTGGAACAAGTGCATGCCTTGCAAGTGCAAGGTCCTGAGTTCGATCCCCGGTACCAAGAAAAAAAAATTAAAAGTTTACAAAAGCAATCATGTTATTTTGTTAGAAGCATTTTCAACATCAATGAATATTTGACAGTTTTATATTTTGTGTAATTAAAAACAAAATAATCTTAGAATTAAAAATACTCATTTCAAAGATACTGTCTTTATCTTTATATGCTCAAACCACTTTGCTTTTTCTAAGAACTGCAAAATAATGCAAACAAATCATCATGCAAGATAAGTAACCATGTGAAGACCAGCTATACTTAGGATACACTTTCTGAAGGGACATGAGAAAGAAACCATACAGCACAATACAATTATAAATGCAAAAGGAAATCGCACTTACTTGCACAGCTCTCTTAATAAAAGGAATCTGCGTGCCGCTGTCCAGATCTTCATTTATAATGAGCCTCCTCGCCCACTGGCCTGCCCTCACCACACCACTGCCGTGAATCAGGACCATCAGCTTCTGGGGGTTTGTTAAAGCGTCCTCACTCATGAAGATAAAACTCTTTGGTTCACTTTCAACAGCATCTACCTGTAATTAAAAATAATAATAATTATAATAATAAATGTTTGCTGATGTAAAAATGAGAATACAATTAATGATTATAAATTACTTAATGTTATTATAGAATTATATGGGTTAAAAAAACTTCAAATAAAATTAAAATTTTCAGTAGAGATTAGCAATTGCATATTAGGTAGATGAACAAAACATGAACAATATATGTTTATATTTGTATATGTTTACAAATATAAACATATATTTCAAAGAATACTGGAAATATGCCTCCCTATATTATTACTGCGTGTCAGTAGTATATTACCATCATTCCTAAGATTAGGTAACTTCATTTAGTGCTTCCTGTGACTCAGATACTACGATAACTTTTAAAAACATTCTCATGTAATAACAACTCTGTGAAGGTGATACTATTATAATGCTCATTAGTAGATGAAATTGAATCTTCGATAATTTAAATGAGCTTCAGTTGCCCAAGGCTACTATTATAGTTATTATAGCTATTAAGTCTATAATTCTTTAACTGATGTTTATTATACCTGCAATAGAAAAGATAAAATCCCAGTTTGAAGATGCATCTACTGGAAAACCATATTTTAGTGTCAAACACTTAAATTTTTAAAAAGAGGATAAAGGAAATTATTTAAAAATTCACACTTTTCTATGTATATGGACTTTCAAGTTTCATTGAGACTGTGAGCACAAAATTATTATTTTACAAAGTAGCATTATTCATGCATTCCAGTAACCTTGCTTTAAGCACTAACTAGTTATGAGAGAAAAACTGAATGTTTATCCATTTCGGGTTTTTTTTTTTTTTTTTTTTTTTTTTGTATTTTAGAGAAGGGTCTACAGGGTGTTCAGGGTCTCACTACTAGATCTGACTCTTAGAGATGCGCCTGTTTACAGCCTTCCAAAAGCTGGGATTACAGGTGCGCCCCATCACGCCCAGTCTCAATTGCAGTCTCAGCGCAACTGTCATGGCAGGCCCTGGGATCCTTGGCCCCTGTGCCTGCTTGCAGGCGCTTTAATCCACTGAGCTATTTGGCAGGCCTTTGTTTATACATTTTGATTTTGCTTAATATTTAGATATTTAGCTAAAGATACATGATTTAAATTTGAAAGATACACAAGAACATAAAGGAGTTATAGCTTTGCAAACTTTGTTACATGTGTCATAGCTCACAGTGAACTGTATCCCACATCATAGTGGCCAGAAACTAAAAATGGAAGTCTATGCAGCCAGGTTAGAGCAGGAGCTGAGGAGCGCAGACGGCTCATGACATACACCGTACTAGGATCAAGCTATGTGGGGAGCAACCCAACAAGTCCTCATGTTGTCAACAACAGGTATTCATGCAGAAATCAAAATGAGAAATACGCAAAATCTGTAGATACCAAAATAATTCTCTGGATTCCAAACATTTCCAGCCAATAAGCATGGGAATAGAAAAATAAAACACAATTTCTACACTTGTAAAACAATGTGCTTAGTCTCTGTATTAGAAGCTTAGCTCTGAATGAAGCACAAATGGCATCTTATTTCACAAGAACAGCATGGCCACTGGACTTAACAAGAAGGAAAAAACAAAAACTTTCTTTCCTAAAGGCTGCCCCAACACCCCCTAAAACTGTCCTGTCCCTTTCCCTGATTTTCTGCCACACTTTACACCACTATCTGACATACTATGTACCTTACACATCCATTTGTACATGGATTCTCTAGTAGAATGCAAGAAGTCACAACGTTCTCTATTTTGGATTCAGTAGCATTCTAAGTGTCTAGACAAGAACCTGGTGTGTTGCAGGTACTAATTAAGTAAAGGAATGAACAGAGGCTTTTAATACAAACACTTAACACGCATCATCAGTGACTTCCTTTGGGTTAAAGGAATTTAAATAATGCATCCTCTTAAAAGGCTGTATTTGCCTGGTTGGTTCAGCAGCATGTATTGAAAATTAGACAAATGCTCAATGATAATTTTAAAAGAGCTTTATAATGTTAAGAATTAAAATGCCATAACTTTAACTTTATTATTAGTAACTGAAAATATAAGAGAAATATGAAATGAAAAACAATCACATTAGCTTCACTTGCATGCTGTGTCCACAGAAAGCAAACTATGATGTTGGAAAGCAAATGAAATGAAAGCCACACAGGAAGAGTAGATGAGAGACAGAGAAAATCAAACCTGAGGAGAAAAAGTCCCTTTTACCTAGGAACATTATATGAAAACAGAGGAATCACTCGGGTAAAGTGGCTTTAAAAAAAGAAAACAGTGATACAATCAGAAGAAAAAAATTAAAAGGCAGAGACATCACTGTACAATTAAAAAATAGGTCACAGTAGTTCCCAAAGAGTAAGGCTAAACTTGCACAAATAGGAAGATTGAACCCCCAGCCCTTGTATCTGCCTAAGCAGGCGTTTTAATCTGCTAAGCTATCTCTAGCTGGCCCTTCTTGATTTTTTGATTATTTTAAAGTCATATAAGCTCTAGGCATTCATATAAAGTTAGTCTTTTATTTAAATAGTATCATAAAATGATGTAAGTTGACATTAGAATTTCCTGTTTCCCTTTTTGACAAGATCCATTTTGAAAATGCTGACTAAAAATAAACAAATTTGTACAAATAAAAATGACTAATAATGGTGTCTGATGGGATCCTGGCGTGGCAAAGAAAATGGGCATTTATCTCAATGAGAAAAAACTGTTGTTGCAGGCTTCAAGTAGGTACACAATGGAACACAATGCCTCTTTTTTTCTATTTGACTAAGTCCCTTCTGAACTGACAGGGAACCCAGGCAGTCTTTTAAACAATGGGAATTCACCACTTTGAATCCAAATTAATCATTGTTAAACTGAAGGAGTACTCAAATGTTGTGTCCCAAATTTTCTGACCAAGGAGATTATGGGGCCAAAGAGGAAAGTGATCAATGATGTAGAGTGTGCCTAAGGAGAGTCACATGGAGAGAAAACATTCTCTCAGGCTTTCACAGACAGAAAATTGGCCAAGCAATGGCTGTGACTTGTCCACATGGCTGACACTAACAAAGGATCTACAATCTGAGGTAAAGAGTCTCAGGATAAATCCTGAGGGGTTTTGACTGGCCTTATCAGATCCAAAAGCTACAATTCTTATTACATAGGTTTTGCTTTATCTTGGTCCTAAGCATCCAGCAGAAAAGTATAAAAATGAAGTACAAGAAATAAAGCCATGTTGTTATGTCAAGCTGTAGGGGACTCAGGTCAACAATTTCTGACATTGCCAGTCAGGTGGAAGACCCAATAGTCTTATATATGGACTACTGGACTATTTTGGAATATTTTGCTGAGTTCACAATGGAACTAAACAAGAATAGGGGATATAGATGAATGACCATTTTGTATCTGTGTATTCAAAATGGTTAGGATATATAGCTACATTCTCTTAATTCAAGTAATGGATTTGTTCTAATAGTGTTTGTAAATAGAGTATCATGTCTGGGTCTTGTACAACAAATAACTACTAGGAAGGCAGTATGAAATGTGTTAATTATTGGAACTGTCCTACCAATTTGATTTGAAACTGTCTCATTGCTATCTATTTCTCAATAAAATTATGGAAAAAAAAATAAACTGAAGGAGTACTTATTTTCAGAAGATACAAAAGTGTTTCTTTTTCTTTCTTTCTTTTTTTTACTGAACTTGGGATTGAACTCAGACCCTTGAGCTTACCAGGGAAACGCTTATTCTACGGAGCCATCTCCCCAGCCCCAAGAGGATACAAAAGTGTTTCTTTTTCTTTCTTTCTTTTTTTTACTGAACTTGGGATTGAACTCAGACCCTTGAGCTTACCAGGGAAACGCTTATTCTACGGAGCCATCTCCCCAGCCCCAAGAGGATACAAAAGTGTTTCTTTTTACAATGCTGTGCAAGAATTTTGGAGGGGTGACATATTGAGGTAGCCATGATTAAATTACCTAAACATTCAGAAAAGTTGAACAAAATATGAGAATACCAAACTAGACCAGGAAAACCAACATTGAAGATAATTAATAATATTAATGATTATGTGATAAGAGCAATACAATACTTGAGCTAGTCATTGGGTAATATTCACTTCAATTTAACATAGGACTCTGACTATACCTTGTAACTTTGTCTGTAAAAGGTCAGTGCAGTTTACATATTAAAATATCTATATAAATAATGTTTTCTTCATTAACCTAATAAAGTCTGGAAATGGCTATTTGAAGGCTATTTATCTTTAAACAGTGGTAAGTGATTAGGCTAAGAGTTCACTTTATTGCCAAATCAACTTCATACACCATTAGGTCACTGAGAGGTTACAAACAATATTTAGCAATTCAACAACTCTATTATACTCTAGAACCTCACAAATTGTGCTGTTTCAATTATACACATATATATACTAAAAAGCTACTGAATTTATTATGCTAATTCATGTATTCAACATTCTATGAAGGTATGAGATACAATAATACAGAAAATTTCATCCTATTTATGTTTAGTATAAAGTAAATATAAGACATGATCATAAAGTTTACTGTCAAACTATGGGCTTATACAAAGTGATATAATTTTTAAAAATTAGGGGGAATCTTTTCTAAGTAGTTTTAACTATAAAACTAAATTTTAGTTCATTGTCAAGGAAAAAGGGGTGGTGGTGTTCTTAATAAAAATAATGTCCCTTTTAAAACACATACTTTTAGGTCTTGGATTTAGGAAAAGTTGGGAGAAATATAATATTTATTGAAGAGAATTTGAGAAGCATATAAAATATGTGATTATTTAAAATAGAGATTAAGAGGTGGGGAGATAGCTCAGTAGAATAAGCACTTGCTTGGCAAATGCAAGGTCCTGAGTTCAATCCCAAGTACCACCAGAAACAAAACAAAACAACAACAACAAAAAACCCTCCTAAAAGAGAGATTAATTTCTTTTTTTTTTAATTTTATAAAATAAGGGCAGGACTATTACACAAGTGGTCATGTTGTTCTTTTTAGGACTCACCTAATGTAAGTCTCTCTATATGCTGACTGACATCAGATCTAAGTTTAAAATGAGAGGATAATAAAGGGATTACAAGATAAATCCACTACCTAAGGCTGGCGGGATAGATCAGCAGACTAAGTGCCTGCGTAGGCAAGCACAGGGACTGGGGTTTGATCTCCGGCACCACATGCCAAAAGACCAGGAGTGGTGGCACACACCTGCAATCCCAGCGCTGGGGAGGCTGAAAACAGGAGGATCATTACAAGTTCAAGTTGCATAGTGAGACCCTGCATCAAATACTAAAGAAAAAAAAAAATAAAGTCCACTACCTAATCTGAGGTTTTCTATAATGGTAATAAAATTTAATCATACAGCATGATCTACCAATTATCTCATGAATTGTACTGGAATTCTAGAGATTAAAGCAAGCTTTAGGGTTCAGTATAAGGAGAAATATCCTAAAATGTTGAGTATATTGGGTTTATATTATTCTTGAGAAATTCTAAAAGAAATAATGAGAAAGGAAGATGGGACAGAATTGTACCTTGACTTTGCAGGAGACCAAAGTGAATACATAGTTTTTATAAAAACACTAGATCCAAAGTCAAAAAAAAAAAAAAAGTTGCATTCCAAAAAACGCATAAAATCTTGGCTTTCTTGGATTTCAAAAGGAAAGAAAAAGTCTAAAAGAACCTAAGGTTGGCCTATTAAACAGAATGTTTTTTTCGCTACTACATCACAAGCACTTGGAGTGTCCAGAAAGACCTTCAAATAAACATTTGCTGAATGAAAGGAATCAATAAGTGAATGGCTAACAATGTGACCTAGCCCTTGGGGTTACCATAGAAAATTGAATGTAAAAATAGAAGTTGTTTAAAATTGAACTATGAAATCAAGTGTGTTAAGAAACCCTCAGATTACCCAATTTATAATAGGATATCATTACTAAGGAATCTTAAATTTTTATGTAAAAGTCATGCAAATGAAATTACCCATATACAAAGTTTTGCATGAGTTCAACAGACTACTTTCATCAAACATTCCAAGTTCTCATGTATCATAATCAAAGCTGCTAGGACTGCAAAGATCATCTAGCGTAGTACAAACATCATTTCACACATAATATCAATATTTTTTCACATGAAAGTTTAATATTCCATGCTTTAAATAAAATGAGGTTTTTTTTTTTTTTTGAATCTGAGTCTGAGAACAAATCTTAGGTTTTCTACTTCCAAAACCGCAAAATGTGCAAAATAAAATCTACTACCGAAGGCTGGAGCAATAGCTCAGTGTTCTGCTAAAAAGGTCCAGGGCAATGTCACAAATAGCAAGTACCGGGGGCCTGCCGGTTAGCTCAGTTGTTTAAAGCACCTGCTTGGGCAAACTCAGTCAGGTGCAGGGGACCGCAGTTCGATACCTAGCTCCACAAGCCACGCCACACCCACCCTAAGGCAGCCTGAGTTGGCCAAAAAAAAACAAAAAGAAAAAATCCTTCCACAAATAGCAAGTACCACAAATGAACTTGGGAATGTTTACAAGAAACATATTGTGTATAGAAATAAAATACTCATTAGAAATCAAATGTTTAGATAGTTAGCAAATGTCCAATACAACAAGTGCCCTGGTTTACTTCAAAAAAGTAAAAATACAGTATTCCACCGAAGCAAAAAAACCCAACAAACCCCAAAAAAAGGACAAAAGAAAGGATAACCCTGTTATTATCAAAACTATACATTTAAAGTAAACATTTTTTTAAAAAATAAGACTTACTGGAATAGTGATTTTTTTCAAATTACAGTCCTTTTCCAGGAGCTCATATACATACTTCGTGATGATCTAAGTAGGAAAGAAATAACATATTAAGATGCAGGGTCATACATTATCAAAACTGATGGAGACTTTGATAAATTAGTTTTTGCTCTAAGTGACTGCCTAACCATCCTGGAGAGTTCTAATATTATATTAAGAGATTTCCTAATTACTTCTAATAATTTATTTCCTGTTGCTATGTGAATAACTACGGACCTTGGAGGTAAAGATTAGGACCAATTGGCTGTGGATTTAGCTCAGTGCACAGCACCTGTGCCTGAGTGTCAAGCATGAGGACGAGTTCAATTCCCTACCCTTCTAACCCCCCCCTAAAAGAGATTAGGACCAGAAATTGTACACTTGAAAGACCACACAAGACTTTCTCCTTTGCAAAGGACTACCGTAAAAGCATCTTTTCTTTCCTCTATGTTTTTAGAATTCATTTTCCTTGTAATTTCCCTACAGATCTTTTATCTAATATAATTCTTATGGGAGTTTGAATAACAATAGTTCTTTGGTATTAACTGGAGGAAGAAAAGGTTTCCAAAAAAGAACACAGACCCAGAAAAGCCAGGTACCAGTCAATACTCTACTTATGGGAAGTAGTCTTCTCAAGCATATTAATGTTCCAATTCCTGAAACCTATCAATATGTAATGTTATATGGTCAACAGGCTGCTTATATGATGAAGAATTTAAAATGGGAAAGTTCTCCTAGATTATCAGGATGGACCCAAACTAATTGTGTAAGATCTTAAGAGTGGGAAACTACAGAGGCCCAACATCTCAGAGAAACGCAAAGTAAAAAGGATTCAACTGGTTGCCCTGGGTTTTGAAGGTAGAAGGAAAGCATAAACAAGAAGTGGGGTGGTCTTTACAATAGGAAGGTTTGGGGAGATACGTTAGCAGCACAATTGCCTCCTGGCAAGCACAAAGTCCTGAGTTTGATCCCCAGTACAAAAAAAAAAAAAAAAAAGGAGGGTTGAGCCAGGTGTGGTGGCACACACCTGTAATCCCAGTACTCTGGAAGCTGAGACAGGAGAATCACTAGGAATCTAAACTGCGTAGTGAGACTCTGTATCCAAAAATAGAAAAAATTTTTAAAAAATATATAAAACTTTTTAAAAAGATAATAGAATGGGGATAACTTTTGATCTTCAGGCACTAGAAAATGAGCCCTCCACCCTACAACTGCAAGGAACTTCATTCTGCAGAAATAAGTAGTGAATGGACTCTTCTCCCAAATCTCACACTGCTTGGCTATGCTTTCACTTGTGGGGTGAGTTTCATACTGAACTTGTAACATACAGAATGGTAAGACTACAGATTTTACCAATTACCATTGGTAAACCAATGGTAATTTGTACAACAGCAACAGAAAAATTAAATCCTGTTGCTATCAAGGAAATAAAAGAGTAAGGAAAGGGATGTCTGAAACAAGAGCAAATATTTACTGGGTAGTTTTAGCAGTCACTTTTTTTTTTCCTTAAAAAGATAAATTTATTTTCTCTAAGCTCTGGGAGCTGGAGGTCCACGATCATGGTGGGAACAATGTCACATTCAGTTGAGAGACAGCCCCCTTCACTTGGCCATCTGCCCCTTCTTTTTTTATTTTCCATAATTTTATTGATAGACAAATAGCAATGAGATAGTTTCAAATCAAATTCATAGGACAGTTTCAATAATTAACACATTGCATACTGTCTTCCTAGTGGTTATTTGCTGTACAACAGACATGATACCCTACTTACAAACACTATTAGAACAAATCCCTTTATTCATTAAGAGAATGTAACTATATATCCATCCTAACCATTTTGAATACACAGATACAAAATGGACATTCATTTATATATCCCCTTTTTTGTTTAGTTCCGTCATTTAAATATTATAGGTGTATGAACTCAGCAAAATACTCTAAAAGAGTGCAGTAATCCATAATAGTATTGGGTCTTCCACTTGACTGGCAGTGTCAGAAATTGTTGACCTGAGTCCCCTACAGCGTGACATAACAATATGGCTCTATTTCTTATATTTTGTTTTTATACTTTTCTGCTGGATGATTAAGACCAAGGTAAAGCAGGACCTATGCAATAAGAGTTGTAGCTTTTGGATCTGATAAGGTCAGTCAAATCCCCTTGGGATTTATCCTGAGACCCTTTACCTCAGATTGTAGATCCTTTGTCAGTGTCAGTCATGTGGATGAGTCACAGCCATTGCTTGGCCAATTTTCTGTCTGTGAAAGCCTGAGAGAATGTTTTCTCTCCATGTGACTCTCCTTAGGCACACTCTACAACATCGATCACTTTCCTCTTTGGCCCCATAATCTCCTTGATCAGAAAATTTGGGACACTGAGTTACATGACGTTACAGTACAAGATCTCATATGTCCTGAGTCTTTTAATTGACCTTTAGCAGTCACTTTGAGGAGTGCTTCTTTCTCTTCCCTCAAATGTCCCTAGATATCTATGAAAGCTATCTCAGAGAATAATTTTAGCAGCAATATAATTAAAAGTCAAATTTTATGAAACAAAACAAGAAAATTATTTTTTCCAGAAGATTTACATTTTAACTGTTTTGGTGATACATTCCATAACCTAAAATTGATTTTTTTAAAATTCAGCCTTTTCAAGGAAGCTCAAGAATCTTTTATGTATGTGTTTTATATCATTTCACCTTAGAAACAGTATTTATATGTATGTTAGGACTGCTTTATCTTACTTGGAATGATAATTTCAGAAGCTATGACATTACATTAAAGCTAGGTAATAATATGCTCTGTATTAATCTGACAGTATTCTTGCATTGAGTTTCTTTCAAAGAAGCAGTTAGAATTATGTTGGTTGTACTTTCCCTGGAAGGTGGTGGCATTATGAACTTGAAAATAAACTAAAAATTATTTGTTTAGATACAGAAGTAGGTTTGTAGTCACATAATGGCTTGCCACTTCAAATGAAGTGGCTTAACTAGGTGAAGTTACTGAAAATGAGTAGCTCTACCTTTCTGAAAACTTCCTATGAAATTATAAAGTGCTCTTACAGGTAAAGCAACAAAACTAATCCAGTGTAAGTTGAAGTCCACTTAATTCTATCACTATCCAAAATATATAAGAAACAATGTGAGGGGAAAAAAAATACTTTAGCAGTTCAAACCTCTTTTTAATATTAACTAAAATATCAGTTAATTCTCAATTTTCATACTATGAGAAAATAAAACAAATCCAACAGCTGTTTATATTTGCCTTAGAAATGTTTATTCTGAAATTTATAATATGCAAAGCTAAATAATATAATCATACATTGAGTAATTTGCCTACTGCATTTTTTTCTCCAGTTCCTGAGTACAAAAGAAAAATTACCATAGACTAAGAGAGGCACCTCTCTGGCAGCTCTCTCCTCTTAGAACATCTGTCACCCACCCACAGATAGACCACTGGTCAAATGCTGCAGGCTACTGTCCTTCTCTCACTTGAACCCTTTGGGACAGGACAAAATGTCCACCTTCATGCTCCTAGAGCATGACTGAGTAGCACTAACACATCAAATGGTATTATGTGCCTGTTCATTACCCAAGGAGTCCTAGAATACTATGATTTGGGTGTCCCGCCTGTATTTCTCTTTCCAGTCATACGACTGTATCAGGCACATTAAAAGTGCTTTATGAATTCTCCTGAGTGTCCATGTTGAATACATTTTTTGAGGGAGATAAGTATTTCCAATGTTCAAAAGTCTTTTCTAATTGCTGAATCAAGGCTTAGGAATAAGCATCAAGGATTCATTCATTGCCTTCCAGATTGCTTAGGACTGCAATCTGCATTTAGAAAAAATGAAACTTCATTTCAAAATGGAGATGAGAAAAGTATTTCTGTCAGTGTGTCATCTTTGTTCAAATATTCACTGAAAGCTGTGTTCAAAGATGAAAAATAAAAAGGCTTAAGAGACTATGCATGCTCTAAAATTGTATCTTCACTCTAATAAGAAACATAAGAACGTTCAGTTTCCAATCCAATGTAAAAAGAGCCTGGAAGCAGTTACTCTTAGCCTCATAAAAGTACAAAAGATGAACAAACTGAAAGCCAATATGTCTTCTTAGATACATTGGAGAATTGAGGACCCAGGATGAACTCCTTTCCTGAAAACTGCAGAGATAGGCAGTCACTATGGAGAGGGTTTTGTGTGTGTGTGTGTGTGTGTGTGTGTGTGTGTGTGTGTAACTGGGGATTGAACTCAGACCCTTATGCTTGCCAGGGAAGCACTTACTCCACAAAGCCATCTCCCAGCCCCACTCTGGAGAGTTTTAGGCAGCAAAAGCCCAGGATCTGAAGCCTCGCTAAAATGATGCCCTGAACTAGAAATAGTTAAGCTGTAATGGGTTAATTGCCAGAAGCCCAGTGTGAACTAATTTAAGAGTTTAAAAACAAGGAGGGGGCCCAGCCTTAAAGAGCAGTGGCAAAATTTTTGCTATCTCTAGGAGCCTAGTAGGTTGTTTTATTTTTTGCAATTTCTTTTTTTTTATTTTTAAATTAATTTTATTGAGAAACAAATAGTAATGAGACAGTTTCGAAACAGATTAGCAAGACAGTTACAATAATTAATACATTGCATATTGCTGTCTTCATAGTAGTTACTCATAGCACAAGATGCAGACATGATATCCTGTCCAAACACTATCAGTACAAATCTTTCTTCTCATTGAATTAAGAGAAAGTAGCTGTATATCATCCTATTTTGTATATATAGATACAAAATGGTCCTTCATTTATATCCCCCATTTTTGTTTAGTTTTGTCAGTAGTAGGTTCTTAATGTATATACATCTTCTGCTTTAGAAGAGCAGGGGACAGTAAAACTTTAAAAATATGCTGCTCATATCTGTTACTGAAAAAAATAAACTTCATATTTTCATATAGTTACTTTATTAAATTTTAAATGTATTTTAATGAGAAAAAATGGCAATGAAACAGTTTCAAAACAGGTTACTAGGACAGTTACAATAATTAATATATTGCATATTGTTGTCTTCATAGTAG